TGTGGATAACTATAAAGTTTACTCTGCTCTTCTCCCAGTTTACCGGAGACCTACTTTAACGTGTTTCGGGAGGAAAGGATGAATTTGCGTGTTGTAAATCCCACAGCTCGGATGCAGCGCAAACTAACATGGTGGCGCCCATCACCCGGTATAAATCAACTAACGCGGTCGACATAAAAGTGTTTAAACTACCAAATAGATTTACTTGCACATATTTCAGAATCGGAATATCAGATATTTCATAAATGTATTTTAATTTTATAGTATATACTTATATATAAATACATTCATGAATGGATTTTATAATACAAATAGCAATGTGTAACATTTTACCATATTTAGTGCAACACTTTTATTTGTTCCCCACAAAATATAGTTTTTTCACTAAATGTTTGGATTTTTTAAATTATTGTGCACTGATTTTTCTAGAATAACTTTTGCTGCCGAATTATCCACTAATCTAGTTTATGATACATTTTTGTCAGAGATTATAAATATATAAATAAATATTATTAAAAAAGGCCTATATTTTTTCAGATTTATTGTTTATTTTATTTTTCTTTATAATGAAGTAGTCTGTATCTAGTAGATTGTGAAAGAATGATTATCATTTCCACACACAGAGATATATAAATTCTATGTTTATTTAAATGAGGGGAAAAAACTTCACTGGTATCGGATCGGTATCGGCCAATACTGAACCCTAGGTATCGGAATCGGTATCGGAGGCGAAAAAGGCGGATCGGAGCATCCCTACTTACAAGTAATAAGTAAAAATAAGTACCAGTAAGGAAATTTTAAAAAGCTACCTTTTCATTCTAAGGAATACATTTTAAAACGGCTTGCCATACATGACCTCTCATTGAATCTTATATGGGTGTTGATTGTTTATGCAGGAAAAATTCGTTTAGGTCTATTAATAGCACTGTCAATGTGTCAAGCAGTACAATCATTAATAACTTTATCATGCCATAGGATAAATGTTAGTTTGCCCATTATATTTTACCCATAAAGAGAGTACCCATTATAATAAAAGCCATATATAGTAGTAATATTACAAAAGCTATTGTGTTGTAAACGGTATTACATATTTTTTATATTTTTTCCATTAACAGATTAAGTAAAGAATAAATATACAACTAACACTGAATACTACTTAGTTGATGGAGTCTGTATGAAGTATGAAGAGACACATGCAGAATAACCGTGGCCTGTAGTAAATAATCACATAAATACGTCCAGCGCGCTTCGCAGACTCGGTGTTTTTGTTTTGCGCAATAAAGGAAACATATTAGAGTAATGTCAGGACAATTAAAGAACAAAACAACTAACAAAACAAAGCGAAACTTGCGGATAAATGCGACGCTGAACTAGTGAGATGCAGAAAAAGAGGTCAGTATGTTTCCGCGAGCGGACGGCGGCGGCGACATTGAAGCATCATCATCAAGGAACCTGTGTGTGTGGATGCTCTTATTGAGGATGCAAGACTGAGCCTGTCAATCAGTACATATCCATATAAATGCACGCATTGAAACAAGGAAGGAAGAGCCGTTGTTGTTTAAAGGCTTACCCTCCGACAGCTCCAGGTCCAGCTCAGCGAGCTGCTCCCGGACCTCTTGGGGGAGAGCGGACACATCCACACCGCGCTCCGCCATTATGGGCCGAAACCGGGGGGAAGAACTGCGCAGAACGGTTTACCGACAACAAAAAAGCCAGTGTCCTCCTCACAGTGAAAAACAAATGGTATTAGACAGCAGACCAAGCTCCATCATCTCCGCCATGCCGAGAGAGAAATCCCAGCCGATGGGAAGAGTCACATGACCAGCGCTCGGGATGAGCTCTCGAGGAGTCTGAGCCTGTGCTCTGAAGCCGCGGCGATTTGCTCCCTCTGGTGTAGTGAGAGGGAATCTTTATCTAATGCAGTATCTTGAATTCAAACACTTCAATGGTTAAAGGGGTCCTATTATGCTTTTTCACTTTTTCAACTTTAGTTAGTCTGTAATGTTTCTGTTTGAGCATAAAAAAGATCTGCAAAGTTACAAAGCTCAAAGTCCACTTCAAAAGGAGATATTTTATTTACCAGAAATCACTTTCCAAAAACTACAACGGACTCGTTTGGACTACAACGCATAATTTCCGGGATTTGTGATATCATAAATATTGACGAATGGGACCTGGTTGAGCTGCACTAGAGAAGGCAACGAGTGTTATCACTCTGTCGGAGACACCCAAGGAAGACGAACTTAGAGTGGTTACAATCATCCGGGTTTAAATCGCGCTCAAATTGATTTGATTTTTACACAACGGCTTTCCCAAGGCAGACGAACTTAGAGTGGTTACAATCATCCGGGTTTAAATCGCGCTCAAATTGATTTGATTTTTACACAACATTTACACTAAAGCTAGCAGGCGGCTATGGTAAGGGGCCCAACACACACTGGCCCAGCTAACCAATCACAGCACATTTCGTGTTCCAGAAGGCAGGCCTTCATTTGATAGAGTAACTATTCGAGCTGTTCATGCCAGACTGGGGAGAGAGGTGTTGTAATAATGTAAAATATGCGAAAAATGTTTTTTGAACAACCTAGTATGAGAGCCTGTTCTAATACACCCCCAAAACAACATCAAGACTTTGTAAAAGAGCATAATAGAGCCCCTTTAAAGTAGTCCCCCCCCCCATTAAAATCCTGTCGTTATTTACTCACCTTTACGTCTTTCTAAATCCATATGTAGTTTTTTTTCGTGAAACACAAAAGGAGACGTTTTGAAGAAGCTTCAAGCAACTATTTTCAATACAACACACTAAGTCTGTCAAAAAGATGAAAAAAACCCCCACTATATAGAGATTTTGCAAAACAAGTGGGTGAGTATTGGGACGATTATTCTTTCGACGTGATTTACACAAGTAGGGCATTAGGTTTATTACAGTTTTTTAATGTATATAGTAAAGGTACTTATTAACCAATTAACAGGTTCTTACTGTTACAATTGTACAATATTTTCCTGTAAAATTAGGTTACATTTTTAAAAAGATATTTTTAATCCAAGGAACATGTCCTACTTGTGTACATTTCACTGTAAATCTTTTTATACACAGGCAATATACAAGGTTTGTATTTTTTATAATATATTGCTCACACTGATAAACAACACAATGCATATGCACCTCATTCAAGCTAATCCATATAAACAGAGCAGTTACGCACACAAATCCCACCGTGCCACCTCTATATACACAGAGGAACAGAACACCTTCAAAACAAGATGATAAATATTGCAGAAAACCAGCTCAACGCATCTCATTGAATGTACAAGAGGCTAGAGTTCCAACAATGTTTAATTATAACATATCTTAAGGACCGTTTCAGTTAGTCAGTATCATACAGCAAGCAATGTTTGTATGCCGACACTCATTTCATATTTACAGCTCTAGTTTAAGGGCTTCACTTACACATTACACAGTTTGGGATCAGTGAGTTATACACACCGTGGAAAGCAGTACGTTCTACATCCAAAAAAGATAAATCCAGATGCAAGGAAGGTCAGTGACAGAAACTGATATGGCAGATTGGATCATGTAAAAAAAAAAAAAAAACCTAGATAATCTACACATCATCTAATCAAAACACATTATGAGAAGAAATATGATGCCATTGTCCAAAACCTATCAAAGCCAATTTCCTCTACATACAAAAAAGTATGCTTTGGTAAATCATAATGAGATAAAAAGTCATAATGACATTAACATTTATGTTTATGAGACAAAAAGTCAAAATTACAAGTCATTATTACGTCATTCAAAAACTTTACATTTTATTTTTTTAAGTTTCAATTTTGTCACAATGCCTTTTTATGCATTCATTTTGACTTTGTATCTTATAATTATGACTCTGTCTCATATTTTTTACTTTTATATCATAGGCATGATTTATCACTGCATGATTTTTTTTTATGTAGAAATGAGCTTCTATTTAAAAAAAAAAAAAAAAAAAACATATTCAAAGCTGAATAAAAAAAAACAGCAACAGTTTTGATATAAAAGCCAAACTTAAATTAACACAGATTATCCTATTTAAAAAAAAGTGATCAGGCATGAACTGTTTAATGGAATACAACTCAATAAGTTATGTGTTAGTTATGCGCACCAGATGAAATTCATTCAGGGTGGCAAAGTGTGAGTCTTTCGGGCCCCAACAAAGAAATAATAATGTTTTATTTCTATAACACCATCCTATCACTTATTCAAAAGCATTTCAACCATTTTGAAACGAGACTTTACATTCATAGCCGGGTTAGTTAACTACTGTACATTCACAAAACGCAAGCACAAGTCATTACGCGCGAGTTTTTGTGCGCGTGTTCCCTATTATGAGACCAGATGCACTTCAATTTTGGCGTCTAACCTCTAATGCAAAAGGATTTATGTATTTTGGTTAAAGATACCTATAATTCAGCAGAGTATATCATAATCATTACTGATCTAAAACATGTATATATAGCAAAATGCAGACAAACCAATTAACAATATTCAAATATAAAAATATATTTTCTCTGCATTCTTAAGCTTTTGCGAGTCCATTCTGCAACACCAGATTACGCTAACGTGAGAGACACGATCTTCACCAAAACAGCCACAGAAGCACGGACCTGAGAGAAATTACTTTAGAAACCACAATAAAATTAAGACAGAGAGGAAGAGCGGGAAATGGAAAAAGCGAGTATGTGTGAGATAGCGTCACCTAGAGAGACTGAGAAAGAAGGTGTTAAACTTATCTGCATAGTGTAGTAATCATCTTTCTAATGTGGCCAGAATCATGCAACGAATCATTATACTAGAAAAACCATTGAATACAATGCAAAATAATTAAAAATATCTGCAAACGAGACAAATATCAACTCAATGCATTAGTGAGAAGATCTATACAAGTATATGCAAAGCTGTATTTATAGAGATGACAGAAGAGACTTCATTTCCACTGCAGTGCTTCCGAGTCTGTGCAGTCTGACAGGGGCGTCCTATGATGTCACTACTTAGCCCAGGGAGGGTCTGTGATAGGCTACGGGTGAGCAGGGTGTGGTCAGAGCGTGGTAACATTGGTTCCCATTTGTCACATGAGAGCATTTACAAACACACCAGGACTGACAGTTTTGAGGGGAAAAGGGCGATTCACTCCTTTGAAAGTATATTTAGTTCCCATTGGCTGAACAACATGCTCATCATCTGGATGTGGGCTGCGATTGGGAGGAAGCATCTCCAGCTGTGTTACTCCACTGGCCCGAGCCCATTCCCGCTAAAACAGCAACAGCCTCTGCCGCACGCACGCTCAGACCGTTAACCGACACCGGAGCCGGTACCGACACAGGCATCACCAATGCCGCCACTGAACTCTCATCCACTCCTGCAGCTGAAGGGAGAGAAACGGGGGAAGGATGAATGTTACATATAAGGCATTTCGGACAAATAAAGAAAATATGTTGGCCCTGTGGGAGGAGAATGATGATGATTAACAGATGATCTACCGAGATATGCTTTTTTCTGCATGGAAGTAACAGGGCAGTCCTTATGGGCCAACAGCAGCTCCTTCAGATGTGTCACCTCAGTCCTCAACAGGGAAACTTCACTCTGTCAAGCACATTTACATGACTGTGTCAAGGAGGTCTTATTATCAAACTGCATGAAGGTCATTTTTGGATATTCCATGTCTGCTTAATATGCAGAGACAACAAGAAGAAAGCCATTAATAAGTGTATTCCCCAAAAAGTGTCTGACCAGCTGGACTCAGCAACATTGGCTCAACCAACGGCATGATCAAAAATACAAATATACTGTTCCACAATTTGGGGTTAGGAAGATTTTGTAATGTTTTTTAAAAGAGATCTCACCAATTCTGCATTTATTTGATCAAAAATACAGTAAAAACAGTGAAATTGTAAAGTATAATTAAATTAGAATTTAAAATATCTGTTTTATATTTGAATATATTTTAAAATGTAATGTATTTCTGTAATGGCAAAGCTGAATTTTCAGCAGCCATTACTCCAGTCTTCAGTGTCACATGATCCTTCAGAAATCATTCTAATATGCTGATTTAGTGCTCAAGAAACATTTATTATTATTATTATTATTATCAATGTTGAAAACAGTTGTGTCGCTTAATACTGTTCTGGAAACCGTGATACCTTTTTTTCAGGATTCTTGCATGAATAGAAAAATCAAAAGAACAGCATTTATTTGAAATAGATTTTTTTTAAGAATGTAAAATTCTTTACTGTCACTTCTGACCAATTTCAAGCATCCTTGTTGAATAAAAGTACTTTTTTTTTTAAACCTTACTGACCCCAAACAGTAGTGAAAATTTCAACAACATTATGCACAATTAATCAAAATCACTTTATTTCCTGTATCTTTTCACTCTGTCCGTCTGACTCACAGTGAGCGTGACGTTAGCAGTAGCTAACTCCTCAGCGCGCTTCTCCAGGGCACTGACCCACACTTTCCGTTTTTGCCGGCAACGGGAAGCAGCAGCTCTGTTCCGTTCAAGAAAACGGCGCCTGCGCTCATCCGGCTCAATATCTGCTCCTCGTCGTCTGCGGCCTCCTTTTGGTGGAGCAGGGGACACCTGCAAAATATTGCTTGAGCTGTCAAATACATTGATAACGCAAGCATATGACAACAGTAAAATAGTGTATACTGATATATAATGCTTTAGTTGAGCTTATTTACTAGAAGATATCCCATTTAACTTATTAATTTAACTATTTATGTCACAAACCCTATTCAAAAGAACAGGCAAATACTAGCATATATGTAACACAGGCATGAGATGTCTGTGAGCACCTGTGGTTGAGCAGGTGATGGTGTCTCAGTCTGATCTGTTTTTTGTATTGGTGATGGTCCACTAGGACTCTGCTGAGAAAGTGCTGCTTTTAGCCTCTAGATGGAGACAGATCCCATACACAAACACAAGGAAACACCACAACATGTAATTTAATGCTCAAAACCTGAGTGTTACATTTTTTAGTTAGTTAATCGTTACATAATAAGCCCATTGTTAAGCATTTATACCTAAGTAAACACTGCGTGTGCTAACGTGGGTGTATGTGCGCGCATTCTCACCGTCTTGGCATCAGAGTGTGTACTGTATCCAGACGGAGAGGAGGAGCCACTGCTGCTCCCACCAATAGGAGGGCCTGGAATCCCTGGGATATTGGGCACTGGGTTTGATGATCTGGCAAGCTATATATACACACATAACAACACAAGCTTAACATACTATAAACACAAAGCATAGACACAAATACAAAACAGATGTGAGCTTGTTTTGAGGGTCATATTGCTGAAAATGTCATCACAGATACTGTAAAGGTAATAGTAATTGCTACTGTTTTGATTTAAGAATGATATATGTCTGTGGGAGGTTTTCACAAGTGCAGATGTACTATATATTTTCATATTAATTTAGTCAGTTGTCTTTAAGGCCATCTGTATAATTAAAACGACTGATTTTATGTTCAACACATTGGATGTATTCTTGCATTAAAAAACAGCTGGACAGAGTGCAGTGGAATGCATAAATTTTGAACTATTTTTAACTTGACATGCTGATGGTGCAAGAAGTTGGAAAAAAAACTTAAAAACAGCACAGAGTGCAAGAACACACATTCCTCCATAAGGGTAACAGATATTCCACAAATATTTGAGCTAAATAACTTACTGTTAACTACTGTTAGAGATGTAATATAAATATTTGATGAATACATATTAGAAATGTTAGAAATGTAAAAATGTTATCCTGGCAACGAATTAAAAATAAAATAAGATTAAATAAATTCTAAATTAAATTCTACAATTACTAAAACTGAAAAAATAAAAATGCTAAATATAAAAAAACTAAGAAAAGTGACAATATAAAACAAAAGTCAATTCAAAATAGGAATAAATACTATAAAATTATAAAATACAATAATAAACTTATAACTACAACCTTTTATTAAATAAAACCAATACATTTGACACAAAAAAAAAAAAAATTCTTGGCTGTAGTGGCAATGATTTAAAAGGAATTAATTTAAGGAAGCAAATTCTCAGAGAGAGTTTTTAACTGTGCTGCACAATTTCAGCTTGATAAAATCCTTTCCAAAAATTTGTGTCATTTAATTCAACTTCCTTAAAGCACCAGCACTAATAAGACTAATACTAGTTGTAATATTACTACAAATAAAATCCATACCGATATGACTGAAGTCTGCCCTGGACTGGGCAGCAGAGGAACAGTCTGACCATTTGGAAGCTGCATCAGCATGGGAAAAGAACCAGACGGCGAACTGAAAAGAGTCATAAAGGTACTATTTTAGGACATTTTTCCTCATGCAGGGTGAGGAAGCAGAGGTGTGAACAACACTGAAATGACTCATGCAATTAAAAGAAGCAGTTTCAACTCGGAGGAGTGAATCTGCTTCACTGCTGAGGATGAACACAACCTATCACAAAGTCAGGCTTGTGATTTCATTTGGTTGGATCAACACCTACAATGCATAAAAAAGGCTTTTTGACATGAAGTGCCCTCTGCACTAGTGTTTGTACCTGAGTCTGTTTGACGGAGGGGTCCTGGTGATAACAGAGGTGGGAGAGGGCTGAGTTGGGTTCATGGCGTCGAATCCTTGGTGAAGTGGGAGTGAGCCTGGGCGCACTATGGTTGGTGTAGGGGTGGAACTTGCTGCAGTTCGTGGAGGAACATCCTGTAAAATTCAGATACATGACAATTTTATATGCAGCACTTGAGAAAAAAAAAGTAAAAATACTGTAATCAATCTAGCCCCAAATTTAAATTCACCTTGGCTTTCCTCATAGCAATAGGCTCTTTTGCCATTGCAACGGCATCTTTGCTGTTTGTCATGCTGGAGGCAGAGTCTGGGCTGTCCGGAGGGGAGGAGTCGATCTCAAGAGGCCCCTCCCTCTCTTTAACCTCTGTAGGTGTCTGTAGAGCTGGAAGCTTTGAGGTTCAAGATATCAAATTCATTAAAGAAACTGTGTCAAACAGAGCATATAAGTTGATAACCTTTGAATATTTTACACTTTTCTTATTTGAAATCTTACCGTGCCCTTAATTCTCCTCTCCTCCTCTGTTTTGCGGAGATCTTGCTCAAAGGAGCCAGCCAGCTCACTAAACAAACCCACCTCCTCACAATTCTTAAGAAACCGGGTGGGAGTAGGTGTCTGATCTACACACACACACACACACACACACACACACACACACGTTTGTTTGACTATTGGTGAGGACATTGCATGGACTTCCATTGATTTGCTATCAGGTTAATGATATTTTCTATCCCCCCCAAATCTACCCCTCACAGACACATGTGCAAAACACTAGATTTACATCAAAACATGCTCTGGCCAACTCATAAGCCTTTTTAACTAATGAGGTCCAGTACAATGTCCTCACTAGTGGGTTGTCATATTATTTCACTATACTGTATAAGTGAGGACATTTGGCCCTCACAAGTATAGTTAAACAAGTACACACAGTATTAGCAACAAATACAAAGTCAAAGGCGGCTAACTACTGTATCAAATTTTGTAAAAAATGTAACGTTGATGTCCGTAAATGTAGTACAACAGCACTCTTTTAAAGCAGAATGGATTCTGCCTTATCTGTTACGACACAAAGGGACTATATTGTTGGAATCACTTCCAGAATGATTTTTTGATACAACACTGAAAGCCAATCAGAATCTACCCGACCTTAAAGAACTCAAACATTTAAAATTTTAGCGTGTGCTTATAATACACACATTATTATCGTTCTTGGTGTAAACAGGCCTTAACATAAGCACTCAATGACAAATTCATCTATGTGGGGACACAAACCTGCTATGATAACTGTGTCTGTTCTAGCTTGTCCGAACTTCAGCGTCATCTCATGCTTATGTTTGTGCACTGCCAAATGGTCCTCATTGGTGAACCTCTGACATGAGAGAAACAGAGACACATGCATTAACCCGCTGCAAAGTTTCCAGTCAATTTGCGTCTCATCCTAATTCAAATCAGATGGAAGCTAGAAACAGAATAGTAGATTATATCAGGCCATCTGTTGTTTTGATGACGGCTTATGTTATCCAGTTATGCAGTGCTATGGGAGCCTCTTACAGTTGCTCAGTGGAAGCAGGGATTAAAACAGCTGGTGTGATTTTAGAATAAAAGTTTGGAGCAACAATCTGTTTCTGGCTCCAAGATTAAGGGCCATAAAGGATACTTATACATTATTATACACCTTATGCAGAAGGACATGACCGGCATAAAAAGGGGAATTTAAGAGCAATAATGCAAGAAAATAGCTCTTACCTGTCCACAGCCCAGGGCAGTGCAGACAAAAGGTCGATCGTCTCCCATTTTAGATCAACTACTTCCTGTGTCACTTCTAAACACCATCCAGAAAGAATAGTTGATTTATCTTATGAGACCCCAGACTTTTTAAAAACCTCAATTCTGTTAGTTTCATCTCAGTTGTTTAAACAGTCATCTGACCATAAACCCCCATTTAAAATAATTCCTGCCAAACTTTGCATTTGAAATGTTGTACAGTCTCTTGACAGATGACAGGAATCCAGACTTCATTGCAGCAGAGAGGCCTGCTGGGTTCAACTGATTGCATAATGTGCATGATGATTACATGATAAGACGCTTTCATTTGACTATTGTCTGAGATCATTCCTGTTTAAAGAACATTTCCGCTAAATTAAACCCGCTTCAACCCAATAGCTTTATCACACCAACACTTACCGCTAGCTAGCATGCGTTTCCTCTGTCAGCCATTCCAGAATTATCTATACAATAAAATTACTCCACACTAGTATGCAATAAAGTCGTAACAACCGTTATAACGAAACGATAACGTGTCTGAAGATTTGTCGTAACTCCTGGCGCGCTGTGTTTCGTTTAAAAGGTTCTTACTTAGCGATGTCCGATTCGTGAACGAATCGTTATTTTGAGTCGGATCTTTTGGTTGAACTGGTTCACAAAACCAGTCCGAATGTTTCGTCCACGAATCTGACTGAATCAATGAACTGACAGTAGAAGCATTTGAAGTGAACCAAAACGTAAAATTATTTTAATGTTACAATTAAAATATATTGTAGTTATATTTACGACGTGATTGCATGGCAGCTTTACCAACACATGCAAAAACGTTAGTAAAATATGTAAAGTAAAATGTTGTAGAAATATTTAAGGTTCTATAAGGCTGTTTTATAACAACTAAAACAAGACACACTGATATTATTATTATCAAAAAGTTGGCAAATCAGTGACCACGAGATGACGCAATTACGTGGTAGCATACGTAATATCCGAATCATTTTACCTAGTTTTTTTAAACGAACTGTCCAAAAGAACCGATTCGCGGAAACGAATCGGACTTCCCATCACTAAAGCTAACAGGCTAATGCTAACCACACATGAGCCAACAGGCTGTAACACCCCATTTACACTGCAAGCGAGCGACGCGAAGGGACAAAACAAGAACACTCCCATTATATTAAACGAAGCTACAATGCCAGCGCCTTAGATTATGATCGATGGTTATAATGGGAGTGTTCTAATTATGTCGCGGCTCGCGCAGTGTACACACGGTGCTCATGACACCTCCACCATTCGCGCGACCAGTGCCGCTACACTTGAAGTCACTAATTGCAATGCATCAGATAATCCAAATGTGTTCTGTGTCACCTGTTCATCGGCCAAGGGTTTCAGTGTTTACAAACTTACCCTGCTCCTCCCTCTCTCCGCGTTCCCACCTCTGGAACTCCTTCATCCAGCTTGCTCACAATATGTAAATCTCGCGATATGTTGAGGCAATACTCAAAACCAGATTTAAGTCGTTACGTAACAGATTCGGAGCCGTGATGAAAAATCCGGTGCTCTAGTTTACGCATCTCTGTGCTGCACACCAACCGCGTCAAATGAAAACGGGTATATTACTGGCGGGGGAAAAAAACACTCTTAATAAAGCCCTTATAGCTTTTTTTTTTTGAAAGAATATCACGGAATGACAACCATTAACTGATTAGACTTATCTTTAAATTATTCAAATCCGCAAAGAATTGCAATAAAATGTCGTTCACATTTTCAATTCAGTGCGATGCAACTTATTCATTGTGATTGATACTACAAAATGTGAAATGTCCCAGTTGGGGGTTAAAAAAAAAAAACTCCGAAAAGAATAGGTAGACGATTTCCATATGGATATCAGTTTGGGACTAATAAAATAAAATCCTAATAGGATTTTACCCCACCTTTTTTTAAACTAATGATTATTAATGAAAAAATATATTTGTATTCAACACTTTGTATTCAAGAAAATACCATTTTGCAACTTGACAGGCAAAGAAAGTCACAAGGGTTTTATAATACAAAGAATTTATTACTTTTGTTCTGTGTGTGTTGAAACACTCAGGACCATTTAATATTTGGTTAATAATTAAAAGAAATTGCTATTTGCTATAAAAAAAAAAAGCATTTTCTACAGATTGTTCAAGAATAAAAATCAAACACTGATTAAAATCATTATCATTTATTTTTTTCTTTCGTTTCCTTTAGCATTTTTTTTTTCTTTTTCATTGAACATCTACAATATCATCCAAAACACTTCACTCAGCAGTTGCTATGTCTACCCCCCTATATAATTAAAAAGAAAAGGACAATACTTGTTTTTCTTTTTTGGCTAAAGACTTGCTACTCGTAACTGCACCATTTCATGTCTAAAAAGCTTACAGCCTACACAGGTTATGAGACTAGCAACAAAACATAATACATTTCATTTCACCAACCAGTTATGAATCAAATCCATTAATTCAGATAAAAGAATAAAAAAAGAAAACCAGGTCCACTGATTTTTTTTTTAATTTTAGTGGCACAGTTTGAAATAATTTGTGCCCAAGGATAATATTGCCAAATATAGAAAACAAAAATCTGAAAACATCTCAAACTAATAACACACATTAGGGCAAGAAAGCCACACTAAAAGAAAGTTAAAGAAACCGACAATTTAAAACAAAATAAATTAAAACAAAATAAAACTGATGCATGAACTTTCCCTTCATCCTTTCGTCTGAAACGGTCAAATATAAAGTAGGGGATTTTGAGAATTTTTTCATAGGACACCTTTATAAGGTTCTACACACAAAGTTTCATAAAACTAAAACATACATTGTTCAACTTGCTAATCAACAATCATGATTTTAACCACTCACTCATTCAACGGTGGCCCTGCCCATGGCAGAATGATAAGAGAGGAGTGAGGGAGGAGCTACTGCATTTAACAGCACTTCCTGAGATTGTCTCTCTGCTGATTTGACTTTGGTCTGGATCTGTGCACAGCCCATCCATGCATGTGAACGAGACGATAAGGAGGGGAGGGAAAACAAATTGAGGAGAGATCATGCATTACAGTGTCACGGATTAAACGTTTTTTTAAAACATTCAAATATACATTAACTGAAACTTAAGACCCCTAAACAGTTTAATGTGGTTACTGAATTCAACAGGCTACAAATAAAAAAAAAAATCCTGCAGTAAGCATTGGACAAAGTTAGCAGTCATAGACATCACCGATTTCCTCTGAGGTCCTGAGTTCCCTCTCTTTTACCAAATTCGACATGAGATTGGATGACGGGTACATTATGAGTGCTGTAGCAGGTATATTACATGTAATCATACCTGAAATGTACAGGCATAAACGCAAGCGTCACATACATATTATCATTAAACAAACATACAAAGAAAAACACAGACTGACTCAATATCACAGACTGGACATGAACTGGCGATTCTGAAGCAGCACACTAACTCTGAGAGCATAAAATCCAACCTGATTATTGTCACCAGCATCTACAGCAGAGGGAGAAAACATTTATAAAAAAAGAAAATAAAACCAAAATTGTCAAAAGCAGACACTACAAACAACCTGATCACTAGAAAACATTAACAAGACTTGCACTCCCAAGGGAAAGGAAGACAAACTGTGGGTTTGCTCATCTACGCGAATTATTTCTATTCATTCTTTCAATAAAGCAGCTTGATCTTTCGGTTACTGACAGACCCAGCCTTCAGAAACACTGGACATCAGATGACACCATACGACATTATACAAAACGACACACCAACTCAAAAATCACCTTGAATATACACCGCAATGTCCAAATCTTTTTTCAATGGATGTCTAGTACCATTTCATCCATTCTTCATGACAAACTTCTTCTTCATTCTCACTGTCCTTCAAACCTACACATTTCCCTCTTCCTTTGTCTGAACAATGTACACACACTTGTCTTCCAGTTTTAGACTGGGGTGGGAATCCATAGGCACCTCATAATTTAATTTTGATTCAGTCACGAAGCAATTACAATACAACGGCATATGTGCACAACTGATTCGCTTTACAAATCATGTGAAACCCTTAATACCTGCTTGAGAGCCGTTTAAATGACATGCCAAATATCAACAAGTTTCCACCATGTTCAGGTCAATACATTTTTATAAATAATAAAAAAATCAGACTCATTAAATTTATAGCTGAAGAATTAATTATAATAGTGATATGACTCACTTTTCCTAGTGTCCAAATCTCACTTTAAAAATTCCCTGGTCTTCCAGGACTGTGGGAACCTTGTATCAATATTTTGTTTCCTCTTGTGCACAGTTTGAATAAATTAAAGAAAAAAACAGTTATGAATCACCGTGCATCTTTCATTTTTAAAAGCGTCACATCTGAATCAAATTTTTTCCCCAGCCGCTTTTAGGACTGGTGCAAACATAGGAAGTAATGGTAAAAAAAACAGGTGACTCATGGACAGGTGGGGTGTTGCCATGCTGTCTTTGTGTGATTTGTTGCATATGGAGAACATGTGCTGGCTTGATTTCTCACCAACAGTACTACTACCATATATATATATATATATATATATATATATATATATAAAAAATGTACAGCGTTGTACACTAGTGCCAGGACCTTAAACACTCCAAGTAAAATCAAAACTCATTCACAAGCTAATTGCTGTAAATCACAGACAACGCAGGAAGCATAGTCTCCATTTCTCCTTTCAAGTGTAAGAGGTTTTTCCATCTTAAATTCCTAGATTTCTTCTGTATTTTTAAGGAACTTCCCAGATATCGCAGTCATTTGGGAAGCAGAAGGTTCTTCGACACCACAGTGCGACAGTCCAGTTTTCATATGTAGATTTATATATAGATATTTATATATATAGATTTATATACTCTTACTTTCATATATATAAGTTGTGTATCTAAGCATACACACAAGTGTGCACGTGTGTTGTGGGCATGATACGAGGCATTACTTTGGCGATCTGGGTGGGATGTTTTGTTCTTTTCCACTGCGTCTGTAGTACCCCGTCTGTGGAGAGGAGCGCCGACCCTGTAGAGGCCATCTCTGTTGCTCTCTGAGCTTAAAACTTGACCCTCTGGGGCCGTTACCATGTTGGTAGCCAGTCTGCTCTCTGGACGTCCGACTCTCGTTTCCTTTCTCCAGTTTCTCGCCAGGACTGCAGCGGGATGAGGATGGGCATTCCGCTTTGTTGACGCGAAGTTCACGTAGTGGTTGGTTTGTGGTGGGAGAAGGGGTGGGGCTGGGCGGGGCAGCCGGTGCAGGGGGAGGGTCTTTGGGTGGCCTCTGACACACCTCCGCATAGCTCAGCTTCCGAGGCTCCTGAGGGGATTCAAAAAACCTTTAAGTTAACAGACATCACCATTCCGACCTTCAGATGTGAACGAGCAACAGGAAGATATAATTTAGCACATGAATGCATTTACCTGGACAGTTGTGCTTGTTAGGACAGGTGGTGTAGATGCAGTGCTTGAAGTGCTTGATTGGCTGCGTGAAGGTTTGGGGGCAGAAATGGGCTGGACGTGTTTTGTAGTCACCGACGCATGGTCTGGAGGTGTGTCGGAGACCTGGACCTCTTTCTCAGGTCTCTTCACTTGATTTGACGTACTGTAGAGAGAAATGTGATTTGAAATCAACCTGCTTCTATTTGTACGTTTCAATTATATTTTTTTA